TATTTGTTTAATTGACTGTAATCTGTTATTTGAGATTATTACAAATTACATAAAAGTGATTTTTCTTTCAACAATTTGTTTGTGAAAGAAAAAATACAATATAATAAATAAATGCAAACATTACATTATCATAGTAATAAAAAAAATTCTTAATTTCGCAATTTTTTAATAAACATATTTCATTTTCCCTAAGACATTTCTTAATTCTAAATTTATTTATTCCTAATTGTAACGGAATAATTCATGAAATGTCAGTATTTATTCCAACTTCAAGTTTCATGTTTTCGAATAAAATTTAGTTGTAGGGTGTATTTGCGGCTGTGTTGCTCTTAAAATAACAAGTTTTGTGTTTCACAATTCTAAGTTTTGACCAACTCTTATGCGGTTTTATTATAGCAACATAAAGTCTTGCAAGCATTAGTTATATATCCCAATAGAGTATTCTCAATTTTATAGGGTAGGTTGGGATAGACATTTTTTATGAGTTTCTTTGAGATGATAGTTTCACACCAAAATATTAAGGTTTGTTATCTGTCATTTATATATTATATTAACTATTTTGTCAATTTGAAACCGTTGTTTTTATTTTTCTCAAGGAGTTTTATGCAATAATTATAAAAAATGCCTGATTTGAAATCATGAATCAATTGCAATAGTAATACAGAATTATTGAAATAACAGCATTTTTTATCTTTATGCACAATCAAACTAGTGGCCATCTGCACCTAGTTTAACATTACCGTGATATCAACAAAACGATGGTTGTTTCCCCTAAAATAAGCGATTTTGATGTGGACTTATAAGCAATATAATATTGAAAATCGTATAAGAAAAAAGTTTAAAAAAGAATTTTACTTTACGAATAACTCATAATAATAAAAGATCTATAAAAATAACAAAGGAAAAATTTTGCAGTCGCTATTTTTAAACATATGTATATATAAGTTATTCGTAAAACTCTTAAAAAATATAGCCTTGTCTGTGAAACTTCCTTTGTAGTGTTGGTTGACAGGCTTTACAAAACAGGCAGTTTAAATAAGCTTACTTAAATTATGTCTTCTTATAATAACTATTATATAGTATTTATTATAAAATACTTATTTCCATCGTTCTGTTGCCAGTAACTATTTAAGACCGACAACTTTAGTAGAATAAATATTGGAAAACTTTTGACAGTAATATGCAAGACTATGAAATGAAATTATTGCAAAAAAGTTGCTTTATTATATTTTTTAATCATTTTATCAAAGAAAAAAAATTAAATATTACTTAAAACTTTGACAATCAAATATCTATTGAAAGATATAAAAACGGCGAGGATGGCTTAAAATACGATTATACACTTACATTTTTGGATTAAGACGATTAGAAGGTATAACTAAATACAAAATGTCATTATATCTTATGGGAAAAAAATCTTTTGCATATTAAACATAATATTGAAAACTTAACGTAATCAATTAGTAAATCGTTTTATGATATATTGAATTTGTATAAACTCTTCATGCCTAATGATTTTTAAGATAAATTAGCGTTTGAATCCACTCTATAAATTAAAAAAAAATCACTTTATAAATTTGCACTTGTTTGCATATTTCCATTTCTCATTGCTTATGTCTTAAAAAATATGTATATAAAATTATCAGTTATAAAATCATCCAGATTTCTTTACATTTTCATGTACACCTACCTGTAACCATACAAATTAATTCTCTTCACTATTTTCAAACACGCCTGTCATCATGCCATCCGCATTCCACGCTCATATCAAGGTAACCTATTGCTTCCCAATTTACCTGTCACTGGGAAATACAAATTTTAACCTTGCTTTAATTCAAATATCCGTATGAAAAAAAACTTAAAATTATGTAAAATATATTTACGAAAAATAATGTAAACAAATTGAAATTCCATGTATAAATACGTACATAATACATATATTATTGATATGATAATAGATATTTCCGTTGGTCAATCGGTAGGCATCGGAGTATCCAAAGAGGCAATATACTCGTCATTTCTCATATAATTCTGATTGCATTGCGAAACCGTGAGACATTTTTATAGCTTATTGCCCTCCGTAAAACGATTTTTATGAGGAAGAGACGTTAAATTATTTTTAAACGTATTTTGATAAAGCTTTAGCTTCATGAAATAAAGCAAAAATTAAATCGAATATCAAATTTAAATGTCATAAATTTTTGATCTAACATTTTTATTTTTCATACACGACAACCAATATATGTAGATATCGTTTAAACTGAAAAATATGTGATATTTTTATTACTGTATTTTTTTCTGTAAATTCAAAAAGATATCTAAAAAAGTCTTTAGTTTAGACTTAAACTAGTAATTATTGATTAAATTATAAATATATATTTTTTAATCCTACTCAATATTCATAGACCACTTAGTTACATAAAAATGGTATATAATATGAACTTTTAATGATATTTAATATAAAATAAAATTCAAAACTATATTATTTAAATGTGCGATATTTAGTTCTTATATTGAAGTCTTTAAAATGATATATTAACCAAACGTACACGTGGTATACATACTTATATGTAATTTGAGGATTGTTATGTGAACTTGATACATTGATTTGGTCTCAATATCAAAACGTTATTATATTTATACATAAAGACAAGATTTCCAGCTACAATACCGTACCTAAGCAAGTACGTACTTGATTACATGAACGCGGCTTTACCCTCATTGGTTACATTAACTCCTGTTGTTATGCCGTAATTCTATAAATCCCTTGACTCTAGCATATCGTAACGAAATATTAAGAATTCATGAACATTCTTAGAAAATGTATGTCAGTGTTACGATTTATATAAATTGTCTTTAGCATATAAATTCGCATTACCATAATGATGGAAACTTTATATGGATTTGGATTAATCTAGTTTCCTAGAATCTACTATTGATAAGAAATAATGTTCCCTGTTTATATTTTTTTTTTCTATGGAAATAAAAGCAATTTATTTTCCAAATATTTAAATTAAATTAAAATATAATAAATTATCAATGATTTAATAGATTATTAATTAAAATGTTATTAACAATACTTAAGAAGCGTTACTACATTAAATATTATTAAAAGTTTCAATTAAATCTGCCCTATACTATTTATGATGTACTGTTCTTTGACAAATAGTTAAATCGTAAAAGAATAGAAACAACCACATCCAAGTACAACAGTCGTGAATTAAATCAATTTAATTAAAAAGCTAAGAGCTATAAGTAATTGTCACAAATGTTTACTTTAAAAGAGTAGTTCTCTTTTCACATCTGTTGTTTTGTTTATTTAGGTACCAACAGCGACTACGACAACATTCCGTTCAAAATATCATTATTTGTTTCACATTAACTACCCAGTGGAAAATTTTCTACTATGTAATATTATTTTCGTGTTTTAATTAGTAAGGCTGTTTTGGAAAATTTTATTTTTTTTATTAATTTTCATTACTTATTACTATATCATATCTTTTATAATCTTTATAACTATTTACTGAAAATACTGACTTTATTCCTACAATAGCAGAAAAGTATATGAGCAAAGTATAAAAGTTATACCTATTTAGCTACTGTTTCATTGGCCACAAAGCAAACTGGCCTAACTAAACTAACTATGACAATAAAGATAAGACTCCATTATTATCATGGAAGAGCCATGGAGAGAGTTTAATAGGAATACAAAAAGTATGCAAGACAATAATCCAACGGTACAATTAGTAATAAATCTTAAGTAAACATACTTAAATAACCAATGATATAACAATTGTTGTTTATTTTACACTTATATCAGTACTACACAAGAATTTTGTTTTTATTTTTTCTTGTATTTTTACTGTCGAAATGAGAAGTAACAATGTCAGGATTTATTATTCAGTTTTTACATTCAGTACATAAAACGACAAATACTGTTAATATTTTATAAATAGTATAAAGATTATATACAAAAAGAATATGTCCATACTAATTTCATTTTTGGAAATGTCGTGTGTTATTGTTCAAAACTTTTTATTAATCAAACAAATGTCAAATGTACTTTAAAGTATTTGTTTGAGTACACTTAAATCATTTGATGCTTCAAGATCAGCCACATATAATTTCAACACGTGTTCAATAAAACTATCGACATGCTTATAAAGTTTTCATATATTATTAACTCTGTTTAACTTACAGTTCTGGTACAAATCACTCCACCACTAAACTAGTGTAGTAAATTACATTGAGCGTGTCTTGTCAAGGAATTAAACAAAACATACTTTATGATAACCATTAATAAGACTCAAATTATATTAGATTGATTTCAAGCTAGTAATAATTTTATATCAAGCAACAGCCACGTCATGGGATTCGTGTTATTATTTTTGATACTTAAATATACAAAACATTTTGAAGCATGCGAATCTTGTAACCAATACTGATTTTATAACGTGTCGGTAAATATTTGGTATTAACATTGTGTCTTATAGTATTGCCGTCTTATAGCAGTTAGCGGTTTAAATAACAAAGTCGACTTGTAAATATTTCTTGCTTTGTACAACGGCTGGAGACGTTATTAATACTGAAACAACTCTAGATTCTCCATCTCAATTAATGTTGATGAACTTTTCTTGAACAAGTTTCTTAATTTTTTTTTAACATTATTTAAGTTTTTATGATTAAATGGAATGCTATGTTTCTTATATTGTAAGATTTCCTTACAATTTATATATACAGATATACAGATATATATATATATTATTTATGGTTGAAGTATAACTAAAATGACGATGAAAATCATCGTTCACGTAAAGTAACATTGTCTTTATATGTGGCATAAATTAAATTAATAATTCTATACAAATCAATAAAATTATTACCAATAATACAGACAAATCACTCCATTATGTTCTAAACAAGTTTTATAAAAAGTTTAACAAAAACCAGAACCACAACGAGCAAGGCATTTAAACATGTGAATTACATTTAAAACGAAAATGAAAAACCTAGCTCGTGAGGAAATTGAGGTGAACCCAAAACTACAACTGTTGAGGCGTCTTATACGACAGTGCTACCGTCAAAATATTACTCATAGCTGGATCAAGGAAGATGGAACAGCTGAAGAAAAAACTGGTGAGAGATTCTATACATATAAAGCTATAAAAATATTATGATTTTCTTTATTCTAGTAATATATAAAATTTGCCATGCTGTTCTGATTAACTCTTAAAATGAGTTTTATTCACGTTGTCCTCGGAATTGTTTTCAGAAAGAATTATGATCTTAACATTCGAATAGATATTTTCAGCAATATGCAAAGAGGAATAAATTATAGTTTTTTATGTTATTCTGATGTCTAAGCTGAATTATTGGAAAGTACCATAAAAATTCGTGCAGTTTATTTTACGTGAAAAATCAACAAACATCCATACATCAATACATCCTCACAAAGTTTTTCATTTATAAGATTACCTACTGCTTACTACTATGAAATTTGTTTTAAATTTATTCTCATATTATTAAAAGTATTATAATATATTATGTCTCAATAAATGAAAAATAATGCAAAATCTAAAGTTACTTTTAACTTCACATTACACATATACACAGATATTGTTGGATATGTTTGTAAATTGAATTGTTGAAATATAAATGAAACTGTGGTAAAAATATACTATTTTTAGATGGGGCTCTCGTATGTCCAAGAACATTTGACGGCTTTCTGTGCTGGGATGAGACTCCCGCAGGGGCAACAGCATTCCAGTCTTGTCCTGGATTCGTCATTGGCTTTGATCCAAAACGCTACGCCTATAAAAAGTAAGTATCTTTTAACAAATAAGACTCCATATTAGCCTGTCCTGTATTCAAGAAATTTTGATTGCTCAATCTGTGTATATATATACCATTCATATCACCAAGAAAACCATAACACTCAATAATATGTTAAAACTTAAAAACTTAAACGAAACTTGTAAACTTCTTACAGTTAAAATATGTATTTTAGGATGTCCTCGAATTATATCACCCACCACCTACGGGAATATTGAGTCAAGCATTATCCAGTTTAAATAAATAAGTCTAAAACCGTGCGCTTCATCCCCTTCAAAAGTTACTGTTTCTTTTTCTCAGACACATTACGTACGACGTGTAATTAAACAAATGAATAATACAACATTCACATAAAATATTCAGGCTTGTGTAGTCCTCAGTACTCCTCTACAGTGATACAAGATAACTTACTGTTCGAACTTATTTATGCTTTCTTTCGGAAATTTACTCAAAATTACACTAGTTATGCTCATGAACAAGTAAACACTATTGTTCGTCTGAGTAATACACATAGAATAGTCAAAACTGGATGGCACAATTGTAAACATCTATAATTTAATAATCATGTGTTCAATATCACGTATAGGAATACAAGTGTGTATAGGATTTCTGAATATCTATAAAAAGGAATCAACAATAGCCTTCATTGTGATTGATGAAGAAATTTTTTGTATGAATAATATTAGCGTATTGTATATGCTACATGGTTCCTTTTAATATTTTTACGATGTTTCGCAAATATATAAATTATACTTTCCTCATCTCGAGGAGAGAGCTCGGAAAATAAATTATGAATTTTGTGTCGCTCTTTGTACCAAACTGCGTATGTTTCTCAGTACGTCGTAAAAAAAGTGATTTTCATATGAGCCACAAGACTATTTTTTGTCTTTTCGCTGTTTTATGTTTTTATTCTATAAAAGTTCTGTAATTTCAAAATATTTATTAATATGACAACTTTACCAATTTTTAACAAAAATATTGAAATCGAGTGCAAAGCCATGTATATTTACTTATCTCTAAAATGTTGAGTGACTAATTTCAAAAATCTAAACATTTATTTCTTATTTTTACGGTTTTCATAAAACCTAAAAACAAGGTTATGAGTTAAAGAGTATATTTAATCATTACTCTTTAATCATTACACATTTATGTGTTTTGCTGCTAATTCAAAAATTTTAACAATTATGAAAAATATGCTCTTTATAAAAGCTTAAGTAATATTAATTTTATATACTTTTAAATTAAATAGGAACTTCATAATCTTTATGAAATATAATAATGAAATCAACAGAAGAATACACATATTATTCACTCCCACACACTCCTTATTACGTAAATATACACTTGAATAAATGGAAATTTTAATATGATATGTATAAATAAAATGATAAATAATAAATCAGATCCAATTCATTCAAATATATTTCATAATTGTTACTTTATAAAATAGAAATGTAAATTCTAGTTACTTTAGCTTCTCATAACATATGAATGCCAACGAGTACATAAACTGTTTTATTCATGCGTATCGGCTAGATAAATCTAATAAGTGGCGAAGGAGGAAAAATCTGGAAGAATAGTTGACAATCAAAAATATTGTTTTATTTATGTATTCCGTTTTTCCTTAATCATTAATGTAAAGTGCTTTATAAACTTTCTAAATAGATCTAAGAACATAATATAACATAGTAATAATAGTCATTATTTTCATATCAATAAATACAAAATATCAAAGAAATAACGAAATCACATACAATTGTATCCATTTTTATACTCAAACTTGTGAAGACGAAATTAAAAACAAACAATTAATAAACAAAATTTTGTTTTTTAGAATCGTTGTGACTTAACAAGCACATTTTTGTTGACTTACGGATAATTTTTAATTAGATTTTTAATTGATTTTGTGTCAACTTTCTCTATATTTTTACATCCCCTAAAGCTGGTTGATCGGTAGAATTTTCCCTGTTTCAAATCCTAGAATGCAAACGATGAATATAGCAATATTATTACATTATATATAAAATAACTTCACATGTTTATAAAGGCTTTAAAATATATTTTCAAGAAAGAAGAAAATGCATATAATTGGAGCTGACTAAGGCTCTCAGTGTAAGAGGTTTTAATATGCACTCTTGTAGAGAATTTCCTACGAACGCTTTCATGAGTACCTACTAATGTAAGAATCATATTTGTTTACAAAGATAAGAGTCCTTTTCACATACTTAAGTTATGATGTTTATGTACATGTGTGTGTTTGTTTGTTAGACACCAGCTTTTAAAGAAATTTGGTACTTAAATGTATGTAATATAAATTCGATTTATAAATTAAAGTTAGTTAAGAAAAGAATTTAAACCATTTATTTCTGGGATATAGCCTCCCAGTCGCTGTGGCTAGGTTTGTGGCATATTTTATTATTCATTTTGACCATCGATTCAGGATAAATCTTGTTTTGTTTGTAGTTAAACAGTAACAGTAATTTTATTTTTTAACTTATAAATATCACTACTTTAATAATAATTGAAAATTCAACTTAAAAGAAAGTATAACATAAGTAAAATATTTATGTGACATTTTTTGAGAGAAAACTTTTACAAGTGATTATTATTTGTTGAAATCTATTCTAATAAAAAAAATTTAACGAATTCCAAGCTCCAAACAAAAAATGAAAAAATATTTTCATTTTTCTAATCCTCTACTTTCCAATGACGAGTAATCTCCTGCATTCAATATTACTGGAAACATGATACCAATAATACCGTGAAGAAATTCTAGGATTTATTTATAGGGTATTCATATTCTTCTTATTTGAAATAAATTATGATATAATAATGTTTCCTTGAACGTAACTTCGAGGAAATAACTGGGATGGAATAAGTACATTTACGTAAAAATATATTTCATAACATAAATTGAAAGAATCCTTGTGATAGATTACCTGATTCACATATTTGTATACTAATATTAAATACTTTCATGTTTTTAATCATATTGAGAATATTTTTAACAATTCACTATAGTAACATGAGATATCTAGATAAGCTTGATAAAAAAGTTTTAAAGAAGCAAACCTGTAATTTAATTATTTGTAATATTTAGATTAATAATTAAATTTGTAGTATTACATTTTTTTATGTTTACTAATGTAATAAGGAAAAAACTACTTTTATTTCTAGAAATATTTATAATAAAATCAACTACTCTGCGGTGACAATGTAAATATATTTTAAATAACAATTAAATTCATTCTGATTTTCAAACACCACACAAGACTTGTTTATAGTTTACATTAATTTACCATGATAATAAATAAAATAAAAATAAAATAAGCCTTTATTGCTGTATAAATGTTGACTACATAGTATTCTTAAGCCTATAATCTATATAAAATTTACAAAATTAGTGTATTAGTTGACATCGGCAAACAGTTCCTTCTCAACAGCTTCTTCTTCGACGAAAGCCTCCTCTAAAGATTTCCAAAAGTTCCTGTCTCTTGCAAGACGTAACCATAGCGGGCCAGCTATTTTCTTAAAACCATCCTCCCATCTTTTAGTTTGTCTTTCTCTATTCCTTTTCCTATTTATTTACCATATTAAACAACAAATATTTTTATCATTTAAACGTAATTACACCAAGGCATAGTGTAACTATTTTGCAATTATAAGTAAAGAAACTCAAATTGAAGCGAATCAACAACTTTTCCTGCTGTAATCAATTTAATGTGTCTGTAATGACCGTATTATAAATTCCCAAAATAAATAAACTTTGCACTTCTCAAAATAATCAAGTAAATTTTAAGTTACAAGCCGCATCTAAAAGTTAAAATGACTTTAAAACTTAAAGGTATTGAAAAGTTTGGTATAGAATTTAAAAGGACACCCATCAAAGTTTCATTATGACCGAGTTATATGTTTTTCCTTTGTATATTTTTTATCTTATAAATTGCAATAGCAATATAAATACATATAAATTTTTTCTATCCTATAATAGAACCAATTACTTTCGTGTACTACCATGTACTTTCATTTTAAAAATCAATTTAAGAATCTATACTTTATTACCTTCATATTTTTATAAGATTTCATATCTTTTTTTCATAAAAATTAAGAGTACAAAAATATTATAATGTACTCGTTATCATAAAAAAAAGACTTAAAAATATTACGTTTAATTATTGTTTCCTATTTTACATAAAATATCACTTAACTCATTTCCAAAGTTTAAGAATTGAATATAAAGATAACAAAAACTATATATTTATCCGGTACAAAAAAAAATCAAAATAAGTGTTAAGTATAAAATGAAGTGTACAATGTTTAAAAACTAATAAATGTAAATATATTCATTAAATATAAATTACGGTTAACTTTACTTAATAATCTGGTTTCACATTCAACAGATGCATGGAAAATGGTGTGTGGTTCTTGCATCCAGAAGGCAACAGACCATGGACTAATTATACTACATGTGTTGATATAGACGACCTCAATGTAAGTATAAAATAATCTGATTTCTTTAAAATATTTATTTACGGCAAAAATTTAAATACCTTCTTTCTTTAAATAACGATTACAAACAATAGCTTCCTACCATTGATTGAAGTAAAAGGAAATAATAAGGGCTGAGATTTTCTCGAATACACATTCAAAAAGAAACAACATATGTTTTCGGATATACCATTGCGGTATTTATTATTTTATTTTCCATTTTCCCGATGTTTCGTGATCATGGTTGCTGTGAAGTTATCAAAACGTCGGGAAAATGTAAAATAAAATAAAGCAACAGCGTAGTAAATGCGAAAAACGTTGTTTCACCGAAAGGAAATACCAATTTTCAGGTAGTCAAGTATATAAAACATGCAAGCACTACTTTTATAAGCAGTAGCATATATGTAGTTTAAAGAACCGATTGGAAATAATACTGAATCTTTTTTCTTTCTGCATATGCTTAATAATCGTACAATTTAATAATGAACTTTAGCCATATCAAGTACAGGTTCAGGAAATATTAGAGCTTACAAAACTTTTTATTTTAATCTATTTACTAGAACTCCTCGCTATTTTCATCGTTTCTCGGAAGTAAATCAATCACTATGCCTTTTAATTTTAATCTCCACAATATTCTAAAATTAACCAAACCACATTACTGATAAGTTTCAAAACAAGAGTTTCTGCTCAACAATATAACAAACATCCACAAGGTTCTTGTAATTGTAGAACACAAATTTCATAAATAGAAACATTAGTAATTTTTTTTATATTCTTTCAGTATATTTTTTCTAAGCCTTGACACTCATACACTTAAAACTAAATAAATTTACACACACTTAAATTGTTTACATAAACTGCACAACATAAAAGCATCTCCGATGTAACTGATTAATCAGAATTAGACTTAATATAAGTACACATTCAGCTACAGTGCTTCATTAGTTGTATGACATGTAACTTGGTTTATTTTTATAATAGATAGGAAGACAGTTATGTGTTAAAGTAAATGAAATCAGTACGGACCAATAATTATCCGTATGAACATTTTTATACATTCATTGGGAAAAAGTAAAGAAAATTACAGGTAAAGAAAGTTTTTAAAAATGGATAGTACTTTTCTTATATTTTTTATATTTGTTATTTCACTAATTATTTTTATAAATATAAAATATATGATGTACATTTGAGTGTAAGGATATACACTTATTAAATTGACTTCTTATAAGAACTAATTAAAAATTTCTTGTTCCACCTCCGTAATGAGACAGGATATCATAAGAGAGAAAAATCATATAGCGTCTCAATTAATTTCTCTACAGTGTAATTATTATAAAGAGCAAGTGAAAAATATTTTATAAGGCGCTCAACAAATACTTTCGTGTGTTATTTCTACAGTTTTATGAAAAATGCTACATTATCATAATTAAATAAGCCTCGTTTACACAATATTTTTATATATTATCTCATGTTCTCCATCTAATAGTATTATATTCTTTTTTATATATTTTGTACATTTCTGTAACAGTAGATGTAATTTTTCTTAATTTCACTGAATGATCGATATATTTCCTATATATAATAGCCAATATCAATCATCTCTCTGGCTAACCACATTAGATAGCTGTATTGTAATTTGTATACGATGCAATAAACCTCAATTGTTGATATAATTAACATATCTTCAAGACATCTTTGGAACTGAATAACAAGGAAATTTCAAAATCATTGTTGAAATACATAAAATAATTTTTGATCATTCATTGTTTAATAACAACTTTTAAAAAAAACTTTAATTTTAACTCTTTACCTATTTTATTATCAATATTCTAAATCACGTGTGTAGATAAACTACATGGTAAGCTGTACCTTTGAATTTTAATATAAAATTTATTTTTTTGACAATATTTATCTTTCGTACTTTTTGTCATAGTAAAAGACCGAAAGCTGAAGAAAGGTTTGATTCTTATTTATAATTTCTTTTTTAATTCGATCCGACGTATTTAAAACAGCAGAGTTGTAGAAATTTAGTTGTTGATACGGTAAAAGTATAGAGTGTCATAGAGAATATTTATTTTTTAATTATTCACGTAATGCTGCTTTTTTGTGTTCTGGTATTGCAATATTGAATTTATTATATTGCAATATTCAATTGAGTGTTCAATTCAATGAATTGAATATATTGCAATATTCAATTCATTGAATTGAATACTCTTGTTTCTTTCAAGGGAGTCATAAAAAAGTAAACAAAATTTAAGTGTCCCTTGTTTTTATTTCATCTTTAATTGCGATCATAACTAGGAATAACAAATATATATTTATAATATCAATTCTTTACACAATATATTATATTGTACAAATTCTTCATAATTTTTATAATTTGTCTCATTCTCTCCTTTCACAAATTATAATGACTTTTTAGGTAATGGACGTACATTTCCACCAACTTTTATAAATATTTCTTATTTTACCCTTGTTTGATCTTCAACATTTTTTAAGATACAATTGTAAACACAATTCCAAAGTTTCAATGTATAAGGTTTTTATGTATGGCATTTTTCTCCCAGTAGAGTTTGAGTAACATATTTTATTTGTCTTGTTTTATTCATTCATGTTATGTATTCTGTGTAATGGCTGTTGTTTTTTTAAAACAGAGCCAATTGATAAAGAGTTCATTTGAATCGTTTTAATAATGTCAAATGCATTTTCTCTTTTTTCTCAATATAGACGTTTTTCTCTTATGAACTCGTGAATGAAGATTTTTTTTGGTTTTTGTTTCATCAACAAAGACCATGTAATTTATTGTCTTAATTCTTTATACCTAACTTTATTTCCTCTGAGATATATTTTATAGAATTTCTCCAACTGTTTTTTAACACAGAAAAGCAGTAGATTTTTATTTCATTTCATTGTTCGGTTTTCTCTTAGAACTCCCAATAGTGTTACCAATTTTTCAATTAGTGTAATATGTTTGACACAAGCAATTCCACCCTTAAAATAACGTTTCAATCTTTTTATTAAATATTTCGTACTCAATTTAATTACATTTTGTATGGAACAGAATAAGGTGGTATTATGAAATTTTGCACCCAAATAGAACAATTTTTTTTAAATCCATCAAAATGTTTTTATAGAAGTCATTTGAGATAATTGTACATTTATTAAATTAAATTTAAAAGTTCTCAAATAAAACGCAAGTAGGAAAAAAATATATGTTCAACGTCTGTGCAGTAATAATTAAGTTGTCCAAACAATGCATGTTCAAAGCATAAAGCATGACTTGCGATGTACTTCCCACAGATTATTTTTTATTTAAAAGATTGTTCTTTACAAAGGAATGTCTCATATGACACCGAACACAGAGTACTTTTAAATGGAATTCCATTTTTTGTCACTTGAACAGTTTTTACTTTTTATTTGAAGAAAATGCTTTATAAGTTTGAGATTAGTTTAATTAAGTCCTTCTTAGTGAGTTTATTAACTTTATAAAAATTCAACAAGTAACTGTAAAACATAATTTACATAATCCTTTCCTATTGGATTGTGTATAATTTGGTGATATGATAGATAATATTTTGACAAACTATAGTCTCTCTGCGTTATGGGATAAAAGTAAATGAAGTGACATAAATGATGGAACGGTTCACAGTAGTGGCATAACCATGGCTGGCCTGACATCACCATTAGAGTATTACATAAAGTTCAGTATGCAACAAACAATACACATGAAGTGTTAGAAATTATATGTAAAAGAGTTCTTCTTTTAATAACTTCAATATAATTTTTTCAAGTAATAAAGATATTATTAAAGTCTCTGATCTTCGGAAAATTCATGATTTTCAGAAGTTGAGACTAATTCTCTATTGAGAAATTTACGCTAAAACGAGTTTTTTTCAGTACATCTGTTATAACAGCTCCAAGTGATTACACTAGGCAATACTTGAATTTACTATCCCCACAGTTTCATATATTATAATTCAATAATTTTAAATTCCAGTTTTAAATAATCGTATTAATTTTTAAAGCTGCGGGATTTGAAATTATTGAATTTTTATTAAAATCGAATAACGGTGATTCCGATTGACAATGCCTTTGTTTCAGTTCCGAAGCACGGTTAATGAAATTTACGTGGGCGGCTATTCTATATCTGTCGCTGCTCTCATACTGTCACTGTTTATATTCTTCTACTTCAAGTAAGTGTCTCATATTTACATTCATAATGAAGCGAACTATAACTATTTGTTGCTATGAATTAGCCAAATCTGTTTTATAATATAGCAACACAAGCAATTTTTGTTAACTCTTAGTGAAAAGATTTTTTTTGTTTCATTTTTAGTCAATAAAAAATGTCTATTTTATTAATAGACATTAAAGTTTAATTTCTTTTAGTATTGAACTGTCATAAAGCAATACGTTTTATAGTTGAACAACATTAACTAAACCCATAATATAATTATTTTACTTTTAATATAAATAATTCGTCTGGCACAGCATTGTTATACCTTACATAATTTGCCGCCGAGCGATTTGCTTGTTCAATAAATGAGTGTAAATCTTTTATTTTTAATTGATGTTGTTACCTGTATTTTATCCATAAACGAATCTTATAATAATTAAAAAAAGTTGTTGTCACGCACTTAATTGAACTTGGAACAACAACTTTGGAATAGTATGAAGAAATTTTACGTTTTTCATTTCCTGAACTTTTGGAATATACCCATATATATCCCAAAAGTTAAATATACCATTAAATGTTTGTTGTTTCTATGGCGAAAACGGAATAGTGCCATAAAAAAATCTATACGTAAAAGATTACACGTTATCTTGTACATTCGTAATAAATTCGGGAATAATAATGTGTTATTCGATACTCATTTATATTTCTATAAGTATGTGAAATTTTTTTTCAAAAATACAATACTTGAAGTTTACGATTATTTAAAATTTAAACAAAGCTTTTGTCAAACTTAAAGACTTGGTGACAAACTCTTTGACTAAATCAT